CATTCATTCTAGGTGGAAGGCACTAATATTTGATTGAAAGCTCCCTATTTGGGAGTGAACCTGACATCTGGAAGACTGTACAGTGTAGATGGTCAGGTAGTTTTTGTGGTGAAGAACTTCCAAATATCAGTTTCAGGAGGTCTTTTCTCTTTCGATATTTAGTTTATCCAAAAGAGGAATCCCCTGCCTGGGAAATTGTGTGCTTGTTTCTCTCCATCCTGGAAACTCAGAGTGCAGGGCTGCAGGGAAAAGACGGGATGAGGGACCCATAACCCAGAGTCTGACCGAATTGCCTGTCCTCTGCCTTGCGTTCCTGAGCTGGACTGGGAGCGGGCAGAAAGAGGAACAGCCTGGCTTAAAGGAGGGAAAGGTATGGAGGTCTTTCTGCTCCACCTTAAAAAATCTCCATGTTTATGGTCCACTTCATTCCTCCAAACTTTGAGGTACTTGGTCTCTTATGGTTTGAAGTTTTTTGGGCATTCAGAAAGGTGACTCTCATCGGCAAACCCTTGAAGGAATTAGGTTGTTGTTTTCTTCGCTGTCTCTGCCAAATCACTCACCACTCCTCAATCTGCTTTCCATCTTCCCCAAAATGTGTTGATGTCTTGCATCTGCTGCTGTCTCCCCTCTTACTCTCTTTGTCCTTGTGGATTTATACCTTCTTCCCTCCTATTTCTATGGTGGGTTTTTGGGAGGAACTAGTGATAAATGAAAGTGCAAAATTCTCTGTATTTAACCAGAGTTCCTCATTATCTTTTGATTTTAAAAGCAATCCATTAGATGTTAGAGAATCAGGTGTGGCCATTTCCCTGTATAATGAAAAGTAAAGCAAACTCAGTATACACCAATTATGTAAGAGGCAACATATTACATGTTTATATTTTCTCTTTTAAGGTAAATACGAGCACATAAGGAAAAATGTAAATCATGTAAAAGAGTAAATAGTGAAAAGTACACCTTTTACTCCAATTCCTTGTCCAACAAGTCTACCCCTCTCCCCAGATACAATAACTATTGCCAGGTATACCCTCCTCTTTCTTAATGCTTCTGATGTCACATTATATACACGTACACTCTCCCGACCTCTTAACAGTATATCTTGGATATTGTCACTCGTTCTTTTTTACAAGTGCATAGTAATCCACTATATAGAGTACTTTAACTGTATTAATACGTAGTATTAATGGGTATTTAAACAATTTCTAGTTTTTTACTACAAAACAAGGCAGCAGTGAATATCTATCCATATTTATATTATAAATAGGTATATCTTTGTGCATGTGTGCATAAAATAAATTCTAGAAGTGAAATTGTTGAGGCAAAGGCTATGTCTACCTGTGCTTTAATAGCTGCGACAGCCCAATGGCCCTCCAAGGAGTTGTATCAATTTATACTCTCAGTAACAATGAATGAAAGTTCCTGTTTCCCCAAACACTCTATGAGCAGTGCATTGTCAATTTTTTGTAGTTTCCAAATTTATTTGTAAAAAATCTAATTTTAGTGTAGTTTTTATGTATATATTTTTTGGTTGTGATACTGAGTATCTTTTTATATAGTATAGAGCCATTTGTATTTTTTGTAATATGCCTGTCATGTTTTTTTAAATCACTTTTCTTTTGGGATATTGGTATTTTTCTTACCAACCTGTGAAAATTCTTTCTTTTTTTTTTTTTTTAAAAGATTTTATTGGGGGAGGGAACAGCGCTGGGGAATAGGGGGAAGGGGAACAGAAAAGTTGCTGTCCTTTTGTTCTTCAGTCTAGTTGTGGAGGACGTTGCTTCACTGGCCCAAGTTGGCACCATCATTGCGCTCTTCCCGGGCGNTTTTGTTCTTCAGTCTAGTTGTGGAGGACGTTGCTTCACTGGCCCAAGTTGGCACCATCATTGCGCTCTTCCCGGGCGAGGCAGATCAGCCCCGGCCTCTGGACGGCCGCTCACGGGCGGCTGCTGGCTGCCCGCTTCACAGGGTAGCCCATGGCAACCCACTGCAGCACGGAGCTGCAGTCTATGCCGTTGCCGGCAACCCACGGCAGCCCAGCCCCAGGTGAACTGCCATTCACCATGTTAGCTGCAGAGGGCAGTGTCACTGGCCCTCATATGTGGGATCCGAACCGGGGCCCTCTGGCATCTCAAGCCAGTTCTTAACCAACATGCCACTTGGCCGGCCCTGAAAATTCTTTATCTAGGAAATTAGCCTTTTATCTATCATATATATTGGAACGCTTTCCCTATCAGTTTGTCAATAAATTTGTTTTGTTTATGATACTTTTGGCAAACAGAAAATTATAATTTTATGTAGTCATAGTTAATGTTTTCTTTCATAGCCTTCTTTGAGATCATAAAAATTTTCTGATTTTTTTCTAGTATTTTATGGTTTCATTTATTTTGCATTTACTTAGGTGATCTATTTGGAATTTATTTTGGAATAGGTGTGAGGTAGGTATTCAATTTTTTTTCCGCAGCTGGCTTGCTAGCTTTTCCAATAAGTTGCAATTCTTTCTCAATACAAACTCACAGCAACATTGTGAATTATAAATCAAAATTGTAAAAACTTCCTCATCTGATCTAAACAAAAGATTAACTGTCTCCCTGGCCATTAAGTCAAGACAATTGGTTTCAAAACCATTGTGCAAGAAATTTAATTTGTGGGTATAGGGTATGTAATCCAATATAGTGCCTGACCACACTTGGCTGTTATAGTGATCTCTCCCTGTATGTTGAATTGGGAGGGGGAGAGGAGGAATTCCTGGGGCACCTGAAGTTAATCAGGGTAGCAAGTGTGAAACCCAATTGTAAATCGCAGGCCTGAATGGAATTCAAGATACAGGTCCCAAATCAGGAGAGTCGGGGAACCAAGAAATCAGGGAAAAAGTCTTGGCCAAGCATTGCACAGAGAGTCAGAGAGCAGGTTTCGGAAGACGTGAGACCTGGGTGCTTGGGGACAGCTGATCTTTTGGAAAGGGCAAAGTTGGGGGAAATTTTGCATTTCTATCCTTTGAAAGCAGTCCTGTAGCAACTCTCAGTCTGATGGTGGGATTCTGGCTAAGGTTTCACCTGCACAAGAGGGTGGGCCAGGAATCCTGATAGCCACTAGAAGGTAGCCTAGGCCTTGGGAAAAGGTGAACTGAAATAAGCTTTCTGAAATCATTCAAGTAAATAGTAGGACAGTGTTAGTAGTTTATAAATATATTTATCCCTACTATTGTAAATTGTAACTAAATGCAACAATCAATAAATTGGTAAGTTAATTCATTCCTTCTTTATTAAACATTTATCAAATGAGTGCCACATATTGTGCTGACTTCTGGGAGACAGAGGAAGAAGGTGCAGGTTCCTGCCCTTCAGGGGCTTATCTAGTTGGGGTGCAAGGAGGTCAGTGACACAGACAGCATAGTGGTGAGATGCTCTGAGAGAAGCGTGCCTGGAGTCCTATGAAAGGCCAGGAAGGACACAGAGCTGAGCCTGCTAGAACATGAGGGGATCAAGCACAGCATCCTGTCTAAAGTCCTTACTCTCTTTGCATAGGTTAGGCTAAAGTTTCTTTCAGAATTACAATGAACGCAACCCCTGGTGTTTTGTTTCTGCCAGGGATCTGAGGAAATCTAGTGCCAGAGAGATTCTTAATGTGAGGTTCAGGGATGGGTTTCAGAGAGTCTGTGAACCCCTTAAAATTGGACACAAGTTATGTATGTGTGCTTTTTTTCCTGGGGATAGGGTCAGAGATTTCCTTAGACTCTCAAAGGAGTCCATGACCCCAGAAAGCTTAAGAACCAGGCTTAGATTTTCCTCAAACTAATTAAGGATATTTGCTATTAAGAGCATCTTTTAAAACATCCTAATCAGACTGTAACCTGGAGATGTGTGTGGTTACTAATATCTGGCCCCTTTAAACCTCTATCCTTGATCCTTCTTCCAGCTTCCTCTCCCCCTCTGCAGAAACAGGAATGGCGCTGGGGAGCAGTCTCCTCTTTCCTGTCATTTATCTTTACTTGGCAACCCCCTACTTAATCACAATAACAACATAAGGAGCCCTGTACTTAACTGTAATCATGTGATATCACCAAACAGAACTGGAAATTCACATTTTTCATGTTTTGACTCAGGTTTTTGGTTCAGAATGCTCAAATCCAAAAACCAAGTTCAAAATACATTTAGTGACTGTTTTCTTTATGTAGGACATTGTGCTCCATGCTGAGGGAGACAGGAGGGGAGCAGGACATACAGATAAATTAAACTCAGTTCCCACCTTTGGAGATGAGACATTTTGGAGAATGCATCAAGTGCTGTGGAGACTCAGAAAGGAAGTGATTATTTCTTACTAGGGGGTACAGTAAAAAAGGTCATGAAGGAAGACATTCTAGCTCGGCAGTATTTCTTATCACTGAGGATGCCATAGACTTCTACCCTTGGTAACATTACCCTCTCTTTTGTGCACCTTCAAAATGAGCTGTTGGGTCCAGAGGCTGACACCTGATCAGAAACACCCAGAAAATGATCCTAGGAGAAAAATTAGCCTTTGTCATAGAATGACACAGAAAGAAATAGTGGGAGCAACCAGTGTAGGAAAAGCTGTAGAAAAACATACCGTATAAAGGAAACATAACACACTGTTATTTGAATCGATGTAAGAACTTTTGGAAGCTGATATTAGTAGAAGATCTTTATCATCATTACTATCATAATTTTTAAAGACTGGCTTTAAAGCAACCCAAGACAACCTAATGCATATTTTCCTAAATGTCAAGAAATAGAAAGATTGTTTTGCTAGAAATATTTACATGCTGTGAGGGCTTTTCCAAAATGTAGATTGAGGAGTGTGTGAATGATCGTTTTTTTCTTACTGAATCATATATACTCAAGCTTTTACTACTGGTATGAGTCATAACTGAAATTTGAATAGTATTTTTTAGATTAATGCTGACAATGCATTTCCACATCCATCATAAAACTTGGATGGCGCATTAGCACGAGCTAATAACTTCTCTTACTCTCTGTTCTTAGGATGAACCAGCACCTGGCAAATTTTTGAGACAGCTCAGCTCGCAGCTTAGAGGAAGGCTCATCTAAATAAAGGCTGGCTAAAGTGACACTGCAGGGGTTTAATCCTTCTCTGGCTGCCCGTGTGACCAGAAGGCTGATTTGCAGGTTTCTCCTTTCCTGAGATCTAGATTATTAGGTCTCCAGAGCCCTGCGACTGACTCTCCAGCAAGAGAATGTGAAATGAAGGTGGTCAGAGATAAGCGCCAGCAGCAGGGACCTGCAGGCCTCGGCGGGGCTTTTACACACCAGAGTGAGAGAGTCTCTGGCCTTCAAAGGAAATAGCACGCTGGAGCTTTTGTCCTGGGACAGGCACCTACCACAGGACATCAGACGCTACAGCCGCCCAAAAATTTCCTGGAGCCGGAGGAGGGAAGTGACTATAGTAACTGGATAGGTGCCTGATTGCACAGTTAGAGCTGGGAAGTTCCACCTGAAAGAAGGTATGAAATGTCTCGAGTGAGGCCGGCAGCTTTGGGCTTGGCTGCGTAGGCTCTGCTGGCCTATTTTCCTCAGCCCTTCTCTGAGGGCCGCAGGCCAGCTCTCATGGACACGGGTCTCTGGCAGTCCTTACCTCCCGTCACCCACCCACTGGGCCTCGTCCGCTCCTCACCAGCCTGCCCTTGATTGGTGCCTCCTTGCTGAAATGGAGACGTGAGCCTGCGGTGAGGATGACTGCAGTGTATGTGAATGGAGGCGGTCTGGTGAGCCCCCACTATGCCAGGTGGGATCGCCGGGATAGCGTGGAAAGTGGCTGTCAGACGGAGTCCAACAAGGAGGAGGAAGAGGGACAGGCTCGCCAGCTGACACCCTTTGAGAAGCTGACACAGGACATGTCCCAAGATGAGAAGGTGGTGAGAGAGATCACGCTGGGGAAACGGATCGGCTTCTACCGAATCCGAGGGGAAATCGGAAGTGGGAACTTCTCCCAAGTCAAGCTTGGGATTCACTCCCTCACCAAAGGTAGGACCTGACCTCCCAGGATGATCCCCTGTGGTCTCAGGACCTAGATTGGGGAAGGTTAGGAGTCTGGAGCCAAGGAAGCAAAGTGAAGTGGTATCACTGAGCCCCTGCTAGGCACAAGCCTGGTGCGGCCGCTTTCCCCTTGTTATCTCAGTTCATTTTCACAGTATTGGTGTGAGGTCAATGCTTTTCTTCCCATTTTACAGATAGGGAAACTAAGATCCCAAGACGTTATTGTGGCTTCTGCAGTTTAATCTTAGATGATCCTGACTTCAGAAACTCTCCCACTCCACCATGTGAATGAACTCACTCAAACACTGAGGGGACTCTGTCCTCCTCCACTTGGAGAAATGAAGTAGAATGTGTCTTGTTCCCAACGCAACTCATATTCCAAGTACTTCGTATAACTTCTGTTTTTATCTGTGTGTCAATACCAATGACACAGAATGGCCCAGGAGACCTCCCGGATCGCCACTGCCAGTGGATGTCAGGGTCCAGTCTCCCCTTCTTGCCCGAGGCTGCTACTTCTGTTAGATTTGGGAGAAAGGGATTTGATCTCCAGACCTTTTCTGCTTCAGTCTGCTCTGTATCAGTTCTCACTGCTGCTTGGTTCCTTGCTGTCTACCAAAGACAAATGCTTGCTTGGCTACCAGTCACTCTGGATTCTAGACCAGCAGTGCCCACCACTCTGGCCTCAGGGTGGAAGTATGCAGAGCCCAGCAGCCCCTTGCTGCCCCAGCCCAGTGTGGGCACTTCCCAATTACCTCTAACTGAGCTGAAGCCTGGACATTATCATAAGAGAGTTAATTACAAGACAGAAAAGGAGTGCTTGCAACTTGGTATAATTTACTGACTTCCTAATGCCCATGGGCCCTACGCTCTCCCTGAGAGTCACATATGGACATTTTCTCTCCTGGGACCCAGCCTGGCACCATGTCTTCAAGGCCACTCTTTTCCTATAGGAGCTGTTTTTTGTTTTTGTTTCTTCTCCAACCCCTGATCCCATGTTCATCCCATCCTTATGTTTGGTCCTTATAGAAAAAGCACCATAACCGCCCCCCCCCACACACACACACATGCACGCACACATACGCTCCCAAGTCACTGGAGCTCCAAGTCCCCTTAAATGTTGCTCTGAGCCTGGGTGTCTGGGGTCATATCTTCACGTTTCGGCTATTCACCTTACTTAACTGGGCACATTCCAGTCCTCCTGTGAGCCTCAGATCTTCACTTATAAAATGCAGTTGGTAACAGTGCGTACTTTACTCATAAGAGTGGACCTAGTGCTGTAACTCAAATCTAATTGGGATAGAGGTTACTTTTCGATGGTTAGAGCAAGAATGAAAGAGAAAAGATCAAACACATGGGGAGATGAGGGGCCAGAAATTGAGACAGAAGACATGGTTACGAAGGGGAGGGGAGAAGTTGGATAGACATACCAGGACAGGAATTCAGAGAGAAGAGAGTGTCCAGTGCAGCAAAGAGGTCACAGAGGCCAAAGTCTGCACAAGGCCTGCTGGATGTGGCCCACGCGGAGAGGTTTCCTGAGTGTGGGTTCAGATGTTAGAATCCAGTGCAGAGGAAGTACAGTGGGTGGCACAGTGGGAAGAACATGGCTTTCAGCATCAGATAAATTTGTTTCAAATCCTCGTTCAGTCACTTACTAGGCATCTGACTTTTGTACATATGACGAGGAAGTTTTTGGTCCTCAGTCACCTCAGCTGTAAACTAGAGATAATGATTCTTATCTTGGAGTTGTTGGGACCATTAGAAATAACATATATGAAGTACATGGCACGTAGTAGCCACTCAGTAAATGGTAGCTATCATTGGTACAACTCTATTTTTTATTTAAATAAACGTATTTTAAAAGGAAATTTAATATTATTAAAATAACAAAAAACCAACATCACTTGCACTATGACACCCGTTTTTGCTTTTTTTTTTTAGCTGAGCCATCCTGCCACCTGTTGGCAGCTCAGCGGCAGCTCAGCTCGGGCCGGGCATCGAACCGCTGTTGCTCAGAGCTCACACTCTTGAGTGAGCTCTTAACCAACTGAGCCACTCGGCCGGCCCTCACTTGCACTATGAATAGAGTTAATGGTAAAAATAAACACTAAGCAAACAAAACATTTTGTTTGCAAACAAATTAAAATGTTTTGTTTGCTCATTTATTTATTTCCTAGCTTTACTGAGATATAATTTATATATAACATTATGTAAGTATAAGGTGTATGACGTAGTTTTTTATATGTGTATATATTGTTAAATAATTACAATAAGGTTATTTAACACACCCATCACCTCATACAGTTACAATTTTGTGTGTGTGTGGTGAGAAATTTTTAAATCTACTCACTTAGCAATTTTTAAAAAGTTTTAAAGGAAAATTACCAAGTAATAGAAAGAAATTTAAAACATGCCAACAACCAATCTGAAGCTTTCTCTTTGCCTTAATTAAGAGAACTAAAAGAGAACTAACACGGGAATAATGTTTTTATGCTGTGAATCAGTGCTATTTAAGGCTGTTTTCATGCACTAAAATCATTTCGTGCCCCATGAGTGTTAAAGGTTTTACTTTGGAAAGCACTAACCTCATCTAGTCCTCCCGTGTTTTATAAATGAGGAAATGGAGGCCCAGAAGTGACTGTCCCGAGGTCACAGGGAAAACAGGTCTAGAACTGAGCTTTCTTTTCACTCCACCAAGCTACCTCGGATTTTGGTGCAGTGTGAAGGAGGCAACTCTTTCACACCCTGCCCTGGACCAGCTAGCCACATGGGGACCCCTGCTTTCTCCAACACCAGACCCCGGCCATACGCTGGCCCCCTCACTGACCATTCTTCTTCCCTGTGACAATACCCACAAGGAGTGGTCCTGCCCTTAAATGCCGGCAGAAGGGCCAAGGAAACAGGAAACAGTTAGGGAGCAAGAGTATATACCCAAGATTCAGAGAAGAGCCCTTCTTGCATCTACTTCCTGCCTGCCCCTCTCCCTGTTAGACAGTGTCTAAGATCTGCCGCCATTTTAGTGGCAGAACGTAGTGCAATACTATGGAAAGAGCTTGGCTTTGGAGTCAGCCAGACCTGGGTGGAATTCCAATTCTGTTTTCTCTAGCTGTGTGACCTGAACAAGTTATTTTACCATTCTGTGCCTCAATTTCCTCATGTATAAATGAGGAAAACATATCAGCTACATAGGATTGCTGGGAGGAGCAACATTTTTCAATGTAATATATTGAATATGTACCACGTTAGTCTGCTTTCAATGAAGTCTAGGCTATCATGTGGGGTGGACAAAAAAAAGAGGAAGAACACCAACAATTGTTTGTTTGTTTTTTAAAGATTTTTTACTGGGGAATTGGGGGGATGTGAACAATGCTGGGGAATTGGGGGAAGGGGAACAGACAAGTTGCTGTCGTTTTGTTCTTCAGTCTAGTTGTGGAGGACGTTACTTCACTGGCCCAAGTTGGCACCATCATTGCGCTCTTCCCGGGCGAGGCAGATCAGTCGCCAGCTTCTGGACGGCCGCTCACGGCAGCTGCTGGCCGCTCACGCTGGCTGCTGGCTACACACGGTAGCCCATGGCAACCCACTGCAGCAGGGGCTGCAGCCTACGCCGTCGCCGGCAACTCAGGGCAGCCCAGCTCCAGGTTGAGCTGTTGTTCAGCATCTTAGCTGTGGAGGGCAGTGTCACTGGCCCTCATATGTGGGATCCGAACTGGGGCCCTCTGGCGTCCCAAGCCAGTACTTAACCATCGCGCCACTCGGCCAGCCCAACAATTGGTATTTTTATAGTGACTTTCTTCTTGAATTCCACAGGTTTCTTGTCTGCTGTATTACGAAATTAATTCTAGTCCCTTGAGTTTTGGAGAACACAGCATTTTCCTGCTGTGCAGTTTGGGCACTTCGGTGACCTCATGAACATGCTCTCCTCACTCCTAACCTGCCACAGAGTAGCTCTGTTGCCAAAGGTACAAGACACCCTCTGGTTATGGGATAGTGTGTTGTCAAGGGGAAGAAGGCCAAAAGCATAGGCAGTGGGAAAATCAGTTCAACAAGCAAGTTGAAAGAAGCCAGAAAACGTAATGGCAGGTAACTGAACACATTAGACTGATGTAGCAAATCTGGACAGCGCCTTCTGATTTGTAGGCCCATTCCATAATGGCCTAATTCTAGTACCAGGCCTCATCTCTTTTCCGGGGTTCTACCCCTCATTGAGCCCCCTAGTCAAGGAATAAATAGGAAAATAAGAATGAAAGGAACTGAGAAGTGTCAGGAGAGGAAAACCCAGATGCAGAATGATGTGAGGAGGTGAAGAAAGAGATGGCAGTTCACGTAATGGGAAATAGAACCTCGAGGGAGGATGACAGAGCCAAGACCAGAACTGTGGCTTGTAAAAGGAGACAGCACATTTGGCTACCCTAAGCTGGCTGGAATGGAAAGAAAGGAGGGATATTCCTTTAAAATCTGAGATTTATCAGTGAGTGGTTTAGAAAGCTTTGCTGGGAATTTCAAATACTCTGTCCCATTGCCTGGCCATGTCAGATTAAGTAATATGGATAGCGATTTGCATACACATACAAAGCCAACTTGCCCAGAATTGTCACCAGGTTTTCTAGGAAATATGAACAGTCAAGATAAGATAAGGAGGTGATTCCCAGGAGAGCAGAGGGTTTCAGTGCCAGGGGCAACTCCCGGGACAGTAGTTTTTAGAAAGGTGCCAGCTGCTCTGATCTCTAGAAAGAAGGCTCCAATACAGGTCCCTGCTGGCTAGAGTTTATTTTTATAGCTAACAGCTCAGATTCCCTTGAGCCTTGCAAGCTGATAGGGCAGGCTGAAACCATAATGAGTCCTCTTTAAGGCTGATTAGAAATTTCTCAAAAGAGATGATGCACTAGGCTTCTGCATATTTTATGTCCCATCTGTTGTCACAAACAAAAGTAACAGAGGCAGCGGTGCCTGGCCCTTTCTCTGTTGCTGCCCTTTCTGACCTGGTTTTC